ATTCCCTCGCTGATCTTTAAAAAACGCCTCTCTCTCCAATTCCCACAACTCTTTCAATAAAGCTCCGCTCCCCGGTTGTTGCTCATCGGCCTCGTTGCAGACCGCCTTTACCGCTTCTTGTCCTTCTTCTGAGCTGCTTATACAGTCAATAAGCTTCGCCAGCTCTTTTGATTGTTCCTCACTGACTGTCAAAGCGGTGGAGGTTCAGAGCCTTTCCGCCTCCCGCCTGTAGTTTTTCCTTTCTCTGCGTACATTTAATTCCCTCGCTTGTTGACTTGCCGGGCTTAGGTGACAACTCTTCACCTTAATAAAATAAACAAAACTTTCCTTTTGAGCATGAATAGTTAAATGTATGAGAACTTATGAAACTGAAACAAAACAATAAATGTTTAAATAAACTTACGCCAACAAAATTTATTTAGAAGATGGTTTATACCGGTACATTACTTCGGAGGACTTGCTTTAGATGCGCCACAATGTATTTCATGGTATTACGTAGTTCAAGTAAAGTAAAGGAATTTTTTCAATACCTCAAAAATACGAATTGGAAATAAATTACCGTATTTATTCGATTAACCGCCCTGGGCGCTTATTAAATTTTTGGACCTTGAGAGTGGGCGCTTATTCGAGGTGGGCGCTTATTCGAGGCTGGGCGCTTATTAAATTTTCACCATTTTCAGCAAGTGAAGTATGTTTATTTTGCAACAAAACAATAAATGCTAATAACAAAACGCGAAGAAGTAACAAAGCAAGGTTTCTGTAAAATACTCTCAAGAAAACTCCGTCCTCGGGGAAGTCTCTTATTAGAATTTATTCACTCAAGTGGGTGGGGTGGGGGTGAGCGCTTATTTGAGTTTGATTGGGAGAAGGAGGGGGTGGGCGCTTATTCGAGGCTGGGCGCTTATTAACTTTTTCTGCCATTAGGATGGGCGCTTATTCGAGGTGGGCGCTAATTCGAGGTTGGGCGCTTATTCGAATAAATACGGTACCTTTGATGAAGCCTCTTGGCGCCTCGCTTTGGCACTGTAAACCAGGTCTTTCCTCTTGGCCTGAAGAATTTTTACCTTTCGCCTCACTTTTTTACAATCACTACAAACTCCGTCAAGTTCCTAGACTACGAGTAGTCCCCCATTTTTCCTCAGGGATAGTAGAGCGAGCGAAACGCGAGCGCGCGTGAAAATCACCCCACGCGAGAAAAGGCGACACGCGGCGGGGAGAGTAGCCTCCCACGCAGGCGTTTTTAGGGGAGCTCGTATTTCTTCCCTCCCCAAGTGTTGACAGGCTAAACACGACTGAACGTGACCTTAGAGTTACCGTTTTCCTTCTTTTCTTTCCTTCGCTAAGGTTATGCAGTGCACGGAGTATTCTGAATTTTGACTAAAACTTATTTTTGCCGCTCTGAATCTAACATTTATTGCAGGTCAGAAAGCTTTCCTAGTGTTTATGCAGATCGAGTAATTATCAGATTACCTTGCGGTCAAGGTCAACTTTCCAGAATTTGGAAAGTACAATGTGATTGGCTAAGCTTGGGAAAGGAATGTTGTTTTCCGTTGAGCAGGCGTTTGTGGGGAGGGAAGAAATACGAGCTCCCCTAAAAACGCCTGCGTGGGAGGCTACGGGGAGAGAGAATCTCTCTCCCCGCCGCGTGTCACCCTTTCTCGCGTGGGGTGATTTTCACGCGCGCTCGCGTTTTGCTCGCTCTACTATCCCTGAGGAAAAATGGGGGACTGCTCGTAGTCTATCAAGTTCCCCTTCTGCCTCATCCCGCGCTGCACGAAACAATCTCTGGGTTTGTGCCACAGTTTGCAAGATTTCGCTCCAACATGTCTTCATGGCCACAGTTCCTCCTCAACAGTTACAGGTTGCATTCTGACATCTTCCAGGATTTCGTCGAAGTCTTTTATCCCAGGACACATCTGGTAACCGGACGTTTTTCTAAGTTTGTCCAACAGCGTACTCAACTCTGCGAAACTTTCTATGTCAATCTTGCCTTCGGCAATTGTTTTGTGAATAAAAACTTGAAATTTATAATGGCCAGAAGGAGTAAACAGGTAGCGAACAGGCTGAAAGCATAGTTCCACTCAATTAACTATGGCTGAAAGCTGCCAATTGTGTCGTTGAAACTCTTCTCTCTGGATGGAAAAACACACAATACTGCGCTGCTCGGATGACCACTGATAATTTCTACCTCGCCATGTATGTAGGTCCTCGTCGATCTTAGCGATGCGCTTTTTCAGCTCCTCTAAGATTTGAATCTCATCAAATTTCTTAATTTCTACCCTCTCGGCCTTCTTTTTTCTCTCACTTAAAAGACGCTTAACTGCTTCCTTTGTTTCACTGCGTATTGGTGTTGCTATTCCAGGGAATTTTTTGGAGACCGAAGTATCATTATCATTGTCATCACTCCTCTGCCTTTTTTGCGACTCCATGTTTCCAAATTAAATTTGCCGGCATTTTCCTAGCCTGAGTATCAGGCGTTTCTGGGGGAAAAGGGGAAAGATGGGAGCGAAAAAGGGTCCGCATAGATCTAAAAATAACTTTTTTGGGATTAAGATATCCCAAAGGCGTGACCGGGAGTGCCCCTCTCTGTCCTATTATGGCTCTTGCAGGTGTTAAAGGCCCCCCGGTGTTAAATGTTAACTGAAGAGGTGATGTTACACGGGACGATTCGTAACAATGACTTTTCGCGCAACACAGCGTTGCAATGTTGGAATAATGTTGTAACCATTCAAAACAATGTCGCAACAACGCCAGTAACTGTGTTGCTCTAAAAATCGTCTTTGAGAATCGTCTCGTGTGTTATAAACATCACCTTAACGGTCTGAAGTGTTCTTTTTATCGTTCCCATAAGTTCCAAAAAGTTTGTTAAGCGGTCCCCAAAATTTAAAGTTGCCATATAAAGTTGCTCCAAATACAGTAAACACCCGCATATAAGAACAAGCGGATTAAGAACACCAGGCTGAAATTTGGCCAATAAAGCCCCATTTTTATAAGAACAAGATTAACCTGAAAATTGTAACTTGTTCTTATAAAATGGAAAAAGTGTCATGATTACAAAGCATGTAAGTTTATGATATAATATAATATATAATATGATCAAATTACTGGATAATTATTTATTTTATTTTGCTAAAATATGCTTAAAATATACCTCTAGCAACATGTTTTGGATAGTATTACTTAATAAAAATTTAAGAACATTTTGAGGCTGATTTGTCATTAAGCACCCGATAAATAAGAACTCAATCAGCCTGACCTCCAAAATCGTGTGTTCTTATATGCGGGTGTTTACTGTAGCAAAAGTTGCCGGGCAAATTGTGGCTGGGGCAGGGACAGCAATGAAATGTTGTAAAAAGTGTGCTGCTTGCAAAATTGTTGTTTTGCCTATTAAACCAGTTACCTTTTAGACGTTATTAGCGCCGTCGCCGCCGTTCCTACTAAATCTTCCTAAAATCGATCGACGAAACGGGACGGTACGTTTACCCAGGGATACCCTGAGGATACCAAAAACACTAACGTCATATGCACTATAAAAGCGTTCAAAAAGGGGGTACTTTACCATGGGGAAGATTGTAATAGAGGGCCAAAAAATGACCCTCCAATACTCGAGCCCGCGTTTTTATTGGTCAATAGGTGACCTTACATGACGTACTTGCTGAGTTGTTTGTCGCTCGCTTTGTCGATCGCTTGTCAGTTGTCCAACCGTCGCGTTGTGGGTGCTGTTGTACCATGCCAAAACGTTCTCCCGCAAAGAGAGATTTTAGAGATAACGGGAGGAGAAAAGTAAAAAAGAACAAAGAAGGTGCTTCTTCATCAACCAGCAAAGTGGATGAAGATTTGGTAAGATCTTTCTGTTTGTTTTCTGTTATGGCACCCCTTTTCACCTTTTCACGTATTAGGGGTAAGCTCATATGATTTCTAGTTCAACTTTTTAATACTTCCTCAGATTTTCTGGAATGAAAAAAGCGTTTAATTCACGAGGAAGCTAACATATTTATTATACTACTGAGTTGAGCATCGTTAAAAAGGGAACATGTTCTTTTTTCCATGATCGAGGGCAAGCAACCACGACATATGACATGAAGAGCTTTGTTTTTGTACTAGCATGATTTGTAGTAATATTTGGCATAAATACCACGAGTAATATTTCGAAATTGTTATACGTAATTTCAAATTTGAGACAATTTTGAAATATCACGAGTGGTATTTGTGACAAATATCACGTACAAATCATGCTATTATTTGTTTTATACTACTACCTGCAAAAGGTTTGTAATTTTTACATGTAGGCATTTCAAATTAAGCTGAAATACCACTGCCCTAAGCCAATCAAATTGCAGTAATTTTTCATGTAGTAGTGTAAGGCGTCTAAGCTGTCAATTTCCAGGGTTTACCTCTGTGTAAGAACCTGTGAACTTTTTCTTTGTTTCGCACCTTTTGTTTTTCTGCGTTCTATTGCGTTGACTTCTTTGTTTCCTCCGTTTTACGTCATTTGTGAGTTTAACAGGTTCTTACACCGAGGATGAGCCGATTTCCATTTATGGAAATCAAAAAGCAACCTTGAACTGTAGACCATAACAAATAAATAAATGGCAGCACTCCTTCATACTTTATCTATCAATAGTTGGCACTACAGCTGCCCCCGCTCTGTATGTATCGTGGTCGGTCAATAGTCTTCTTTTTTGTGTAGCTCTATAAAAAACATGGATTCATAATGGATATTTTCACACATATTGCATACATAGATAAGAACACAAAACAAAAAGTTTCATGCGGTGATTCAGTTCGATTTTAAAACAGCTCAGATCAAACCATTCTCAGTTTCGAGAATATTTTATTAAAAAATATAAGCAAAGATTTGATTAGAAGTTGTAATTCTTCACTATTTCTCTTTTACTTTTAATTTAAAATGTTTGATCACATTACTCTTGGGCGTTCTAGTCATTTAACTTTTAAGACAATATGTTAATGAGAATTCGATGAAGAGAATTGTTTCATTATGATGGAAAGATATCTGCTGAAGAGCAGTATTCACCATTTTGCATTCCGCAAGAGATACTGAAAGCAAAGTTTCTGCAACAATATTGGGAGGGGGTAGACAGACAAGGTGTATTAGGGAATGCAAAAATAACAAATTAATACTTGTGGTTATATAAATGTCACATAAGATCTGAACAAGTTGAGTAATTCATAAGTTTTTTGGCCAGTCTTTCTTACATGTAGCTGAAGCATACATTTATAACAAATATGGAAACCTTGAAAGTTTAGCTCTGTGGATTTGACCTTAAAGTGGAAATCAAAGTTCTATTGTAAGATGATACAAAATATTTTATTTCCTCAAATAAAAGCCATCCCTCTATTAACCACCTCCCTCAAATTTGAAATATTTTCTAGTAATAGTTGACAATACAGCTCCACCCCCTCTGTATATTGTCGGTCAATAGTATTCTTGGTCATTGTTTAGCTCTTTGAAATATACCAATTCATGATCAAAGATTTTGACACATATTCTATACAGAAGGTGAGAGTAAAAACAGGAAACGAAAGGTTCTATGTACTGTTTCAGTTTGATTTACAAAGCTATGATCTGAAAGCATTCTCTGTTTTGAGAATAGTTTATTTTAAACCATTACAAAAGATTTAATTTTTAGAAGTTAAAGTTTTACAAACAGTTCATTTTATTTGCCTGAAATTAAGCCTTAGAAATTAAAAGGTTTGATCAATAATTTCTCACAGATGTCCTTTAGGGGATTAAGTATTAGAAATGGCTAGAACATGCCAAAGATACAGAGAAAGAGATCAGAGATCTGTGAACTTGTGTCTGGCAAACTATCCAATCATTTATATACACAGTCATACACACCTTATAACCTCATCTCCGCTTAACGATGTAACATTTCCCAAGCATTGGTTATATAGAGGTGTTCGATATAACAAACTCTCCACTTAACTAACACATTTCCCCAGTCCCTTTGCATGTTAAATCGAGGTTCCACAATGTACTTAAATACTTCGATCACTAAAACTCCTTTTAAACTATATCATACAGCAGAGAAGTTGATAACGGATTTGTTGTTGTTCTTGTTGCAGGAAGACGAAAAGTGATTAATGAAAGAAGATCATTAAGAAAAATAAACGTCAATCGTTTTTTTTTTAAAAAATGGTGTATTCATTTGTATTAAAAAAAAAACTTTTGAACGTCGTTTCTCCTTAGACAACAACTACTCGCACGTCCAAGCTCCTTACAGAGGCGTCTTCTCTATTTTCTAAACGACCATTTTTCGACTAGATTCTGTTTTTTAATAGCAGGGGATTTTTAGATAAAACTTCATTGACAATCATTATCATTAACCTCTCTCATAATATTGGGAAAGGCTTTTCGTTGTGCGTGGTTTGTAGAATCTCGTTTTTGACTGTCTTTTACTCTTCATTGTAATTATTATTCTTTAAACAGTTCATATTTCAGTTTATTTGTTGCTTTGGTACATGTATGTTCTTTTTATCCCCATGTAACGGTGACGTGGGATCCTATTCACCACCGCTGTTTAGTTTTCTGTAAGCTAAAAATAAATTTAAGTAAAACCTTCATACACCAAGAAGGGTGGCTTTAGAAAAGAATAAGGCTCGAGGATGATAATTGGTGGTAGAAATGAATAGTCTGTTGAACGTTGTGCTTCCTCTTCGACAACAACTAGTCAAACATTAGAGCTCGTTACAAAGCTTTCCTCTCTATTTTTATAAAAACCATTTTTCAATCACTATTGATTTTATTCACATTGAAATGTTGCGAGTTCTTAGGCTCAGTAAACCTTGTAACACACATTTCTTAGACT